GTGGGGGGTGGTTTATTGTGTTGGGGGGGTGGGGCGAGCAATATGTTTTTGCTGGACTCTGAAGTCTGAGACCTTCTTGTGCTGGAAACACATGAGAGTTGTTGAATAATGACAAGCAGACTGTGCATGTCTCTGATGCTTTGTATAATTCATATGTGGACATTCAGTCTTTGGACAATAAACAGTATTATCAAATAACACGCGACTGCTGCCTCTGACCCGGCGCCGGCGCGGGGAGCTCGGGGCGCCGCTGACACCCGCCCTGACCCCGGGGTCATGCAGCAGCCACAGCTTGGCCCAGCCACATCCCCCTGGGTGCGCGGGACCTGCTCCCCCTGCGCTGCAGGGCCAGGGGTGGAGGAGCCCGGGATCACGGAGGTCGTGCTGCTGCATCAGCCTCCTTCCCCTGCAGCAAACGCGGGAAGCCACAGCCCTGCGAGCGAGGCCTGGGAGAGTGTGCCCGCAGCTCCCCTGTGATTATAACCGCCCCGGCCCTGTGCTGCTCCTGCCTGCCCTTGGGGTGCGCTGGCAGAGCCCCAGTGCTGAGTGGAAACGGGCCTGTGGCATCCCACCGGGCCTGCCTGGCACCGCAGGTCGAGTCGGCGTGACTGGGGTGCCCCCTCTCTCTGCTCCGTGCCAGGGGGGCTTGGTGCTGGGGATGGGACCAGGCTGTGCTGACGCACTCGCTGGCCCCCACCCTGCAGGGTCCTGGCTGGAGGGCCTTGCCCCTGCGCTCAGGCTCAGCCTCACAGTGCGCTGGGGCAGGAAGGGATTTCCTCACTGCTCAGACTGGTGCTGACTGCAGGGTCCTGCTTTCCTCTGCAGCGGGGCCACGGCCTCGGCCTGGGCTCTCTGCAACATCCACGACCCCCCCGGCAGCAGCAGGGCGCTGGTGCCTGCAGCCCCCAGGTAGCCTCGGCTGTGAGGTCCGGGTGGTGCTGGGGCAGGCCTGAGACGAGAGTGCCGGGGTGCTCCAGGCTGGCAGATCCAGGCTCAGGCAGGGGCTGGTGCCCTCTGCAGCACCGGGGCCAAGTGGGGTGCCCTGGGCAGGTATGCCCCCGGCAGGTAGGAGTGCCCTGGGCGAGGGTGCCGTGTTTGCAGGGGTGCCCCATGCAGACAGGGCTGCCCTGACCAGGCACGGGTGCCTCTGTTAAAGGCTGGGCTGGGGTGCCCTGTGCTTGCAGGGGTGCCCCCAGGCGAGAGAACAGGCAATCCTTGGCTGGCGGCGTCTCACACTTACACCATGGCTAAACCGACACCGTTTCAACTTTCTGCCCTCCGGTTCGACTTCACCACGCTTGGTCCGAGGCGCCGCCACGCCAGCGAACACGGCGCCGCGTCGCCCGGACAACGTCTGTCCAAACTTCCCGGGCCCCTTCCCCGAAGAAAGCCGACGCCACTCCCGAAAACCTGAGAAGCCTCCGGCCCAGAGCCCGGCCAAGGTCCAGCGAGGCCTTGTCACCTGAAAGCAGCCCAGCCCGCCGCTATTCCCCGCGCGGCCGCAGCTCTAGGACTCGTCTCGGACTGAGCGAGTGCCACGGTGAACACGGGGTCTCGGCCCCGGCGCGGAAGCCCCGGCTAGAACATTGTTTCCCCGCGAAGCGGGTCCGAGATACAATGTTTCCACTGGAGCCGCGGTTTCAGGAACCAGCTGCGTCCCAAGGCCGAGGGCGGGAGCCCGCCGCTATTCCCCGCGCGGCCGCAGCTCTAGGACTCGTCTCGGACTGAGCGAGTGCCACGGTGAACACGGGGTCTCGGCCCCGGCGCGGAAGCCCCGGCTAGAACATTGTTTCCCCGCGAAGCGGGTCCGAGATACAATGTTTCCACTGGAGCCGCGGTTTCAGGAACCAGCTGCGTCCCAAGGCCGAGGGCGGGCCCGTGCAGGCCGGGCTGCCCCACACGCGGGGCCC